GTCTTGAATATGGATAACAAATAAAATAATCAATGAGGATAACAACTAATCATTTGATTTGGGAATAATAAATAAACAAAAAAGGAAAAATTAAGAAGAGAATATGAAAGCGTGTCTGACGCAAGGAGGCAAATCTCTCTGTCATGACTCACGTTTATAGCTTAAAATTTTGTTTTTCTTCGCAAATTGCATACTTTTGTTTTAAATTTTGTATATGATTTTTATTTAACATCTTAAACTACATACATCTGTTTATATGAAACATCCCCATATTTTTGAAAAAATCAACCATACCTTCATCCTAACTTCGGTAAAACTATCATTGTTTTACCTACAAATTTTCCTTATTTATTTGTGTAGATCTTTTTTTAATTATATCGTTTGAAAATCTTACATTCCATTATATATCGAAAACACTACAAAATTATTATTAGAAAGAGGAATAAACTGCCATGCAAAATATATTCTAGCTAAATAGCAATACGGAAATTAAGTTGGATCGAGTAAAAGGAAAATATAATTCAATTGAAATATCTATAGGTTCGGAACAAATACTTTCTTTTGAAGTAATTGTTTAAGTTTTTGTTATTGTTTTAAAGTAATTGTTAATCTTTTTATTCTTACTAGCCTAAGTAGATATGAAAATGCTTTTTAATCTATAGCATGATATGATTATCCATGAGATATGGTGGATATCATTAAATATAAAATTATTAAAACACACATTCTCTTATGAATAATGATGCTCTGAGTTTAACGGATTACAAATAATTTCTTGATATGGGTTAAAATACACAAGAAAAAAAAATTCATGTTATTTAGTAGGTAATATATACGATTTGTCGTTCTACTTATAAACCGACTGAAATGACAAGTGTAATACAAAACCTAATTTCATGCTTTACGAAAAAATCAGCTTAATCAAATTATTATTTTCCAAAAAGAGGAAAAGTATAAAGAACATGTTATGTGTTTCACAAAACACCAAATATTGAAAAAATCAATATACAAAAATAGAGAAAAATCTCGAGCGAAAAAAATTGTGGATGATAATAGCCACCCACAATACTAAGCCTAAGGTGAGGAGGTCATGAATGAAAGAAAACACAATCACATGCATC